CTTGCTTGCACCTCTCGCAGATGTTCGTGTCGCACTCGTAGCCAGCCTGAATCTGTCGTTGCCGAGTCCATTGCCCACCCGTAACCACCACGTTATTGAGTGCCCAATCTTGCCATTCCGCCCGCTGGCTGTATCTTTGTTGCTCCTTACTTATGTGCCATATGTCTCCTCCTCGTTGCAAGTCGTCCCCGTGCAAATGCGTAGCTGCTTGTGCCCACCTCACCATTTCCAGGTCGTGCTCCAGATCCTCCAGCAGCTGTGTGTACTCAATAGCATCAATGTCGCACTTGCCATCGTCGTCTATGAAGGGGAGCTGCCATTGCTCGTCACCTTGTGGTGTCGGTCGCTTCCATAATGCCGCCTGTATCGGCTTCCACCCCGCCGCCATTAGAGTAGCCTGCACCGCTGCAACTGGGCCGTGTACCTTGCGCCACAGCTGCGTGCCTGCCCTGATCAACTTACGGTAGGTCGGTCCCCATGCTTGTCGTACTCGTCGATGAATTTCTGGGTGAAGAAGCCATTGGTGTAGCCATTCGCTGACAAGTTGCCGTCGCAGGCTGATGCCTGGGTCCTTCAAGTGATACAGTACAGCCATGCCAGTGGATAAGCACCTTCCTGGTCCTGTGCCAGCCGCCGACTTCATGGCCATACGTCGTAACTGTAATATTCGGCTGGGTGCGATTCCCCAGACCTCGTGCCCATAAGTCTCCTGGGGTGAGACGCCTGTGGTGAAGAGGCCCTTGGTAATCCTTGCCACGCGCGTCGCCATCCTTCGCAACCTGAAAATCTTGCCCGCTCGCTGCTTGGCCTTTCGCTGGCGTGTCCGAGCCTTCTTCTGTGTGCGCTTGCCCATGCCACTGACGTCGGTGCCCAAGTCCACCATGTCACTTTGTTGCTTACCAGGGAGTCCTCGCCGTTGTAGTCTGCGCCATATTCGTCTTCGGAGCGTGGGATTGGATGCAACGAGCACTGTCTTGGGCGAGATGATGAGGCTGCGCTTCTCAGCCTGGATGATGAACTCATCGACCAACTCCACCATCTGCTGCTCCACCGTCTCCTCGGTACCTTCGACCCTTCCAACCGTGTCGTCCACGTATGTCCATAGCCCCGCTGCCTGGACTCGCTTCTGGGCTGCGTCCAAGAGAGGGAACAGGTACACCTTGGCGAATCTAGTCCCTTGGGCTGAGCCCGCCACGATCGAACATGACGGGTCGATCCTGGGTCCGATCCACTCCGTGTGCTTGAGGTGCCGTGGACCCAGGAACGCTTCGACCTCCATCGCCATAATTGTCGGTGAGAAATCCAGCTCGATCCCCGTGTCTATGAGCCATCCCAAGTCTAACGAATCGTAGAACTGCTCCATATCCGCGAACAACTCCGCATGTGCAATACCCATGGAATGGCCCGTCTCGTCGAGGGTAGCTCGCAGCAAAGCCGCACGTAACGCCGAGGAACCACGCAACGCCGTATCCCAGTGGTCCTCCAACTGCTGCGTCCACGACTCGACCACTCCTGACCGCATCCGTGACCATATACGAATCGTCATAGGTAAAAGCCCTAAGACTCGATCTCCTCCTGCTGGTTTGCCCGCGATCGCGCCGATGGTGCCCAGGACTTGTGGGGGCCACATCAGATGCTCTTCGGCTTGCGCGATGATATCCAAAAAACCGTACTTGGCCTGGTCTGGGAGCCTCTCGATGTCCAAGGGGCCTATCGCATCGATTCCTCGTGCCTTCTTGACCCCCATGCGGTGGGTGGCAGCGTTGAGGTCCTGGATCGTGAGCTGCGGGAGGTCCTCTTGGGCCGCCGAGAGACGGCAACGTCGAAGAGCGCCTGCAAGTGCTGTCTGTCTATGCGGGGCGGCCGTCCACTTCTTGGCCCAACTCTCGCTCTTGTGGTTCATGATGAGGATGGGATCGGCCACGATCTTGCCTGAGATCATCTCCTCGAGCCGCGGCTGCTGCGCGTCCTTCGTCCATCTGTGCAGGGCTCCAGGAGTCTTCTTCCGCATATCCTGCGCCCACCTGATGAAGCCCTTTGTGCCATCTGCCAGAGCTCTCCGCGCTGCTTGTCCAGCCAATCTCTCGGTGATCTCTATCACGTCCTCTCTCTCCTGACGTGCTGGGCTGAAGATGTCGTGTGCGCTCTGCTGCCACTGGTTGAGCAGCTCGATATCGCTGTGCTTGCTGACCACATGTACCTGCTGCATCCGCTGTCGAAACTCTTGCCCTCGTTGTTGCAGCTGTTGTGGGTCTTTGTTGTTCTTCACCAGGCCATTGATCGCGATCACCTGCGTGTGCGTGATGGCCCACCACTCAGCCTCTGAATTGTACAGATGCGGTCTGCCTGGCGCTGCTGTGCTCTTTGTCCACTTGATGCCGAAACCCTGCGCCCTTCCTCTATAGCCGTCTCGTTGGTGTTGGGGTACCTCTGAGTGCTGCAAAACTGCCTCCTCCACGGCCTCGATCCACCTGCCGTAGCTGTTCGCCAACTTCTGTGCCAGCAGTGGCCGATCGCGATAGGCCTGAGGCCGCCAACGGTCCCTTCTGAGTTGAACACCTGGTGGGCTGCCAGAGAATCCCCATTTGGCATCTTCCCACGTAACGCAACTGATATGGAAGCCGATGGACGGTGAGTCCGCGCTCGGAGTCTGCGTTGTCGGGGGTGTGTTCGTAGTCGTTGAGCCTGGTTCGTGCTCGAGGAGATCAAAACCATGTCGAAGTCCAGGTTCCAGCTCTTCGCGTCTCTGTTGGCGTCGTGCCTGCTGCTTACTCCGTTTGCTGTCCAGGTCCTTCTGCTTCTTCGGCCTCGGCACCGTGGGCAACGCTTTGGGAATGTCCAGCGTGCGGTGCCACCATCGCTGCTTCTTGCCAGCCAGCCTGATGCGAAGCCCACAATGCGTCGCCCATGGCACCGTCAGTTCTTTGGTAATGGTAAGCCCTTCCTTGCAGCCCGCGGCGACGACGCCGTAGTCGTAGAGAGAGCCCTTGCCTTTGTCGCATGTGACCTCCTCTGGGCCCGTGACGATCTCGCCTCGCATCTGTTCTAACCAACCAGATGCGAGCAGCTCAGTAGGGACGCAGTTCCAATCCGCCACGACGAGCCATGGGTCCTTCAACAAGCGCACAAAGGCCGTGAGGGCTGCCATGACCTTACGGTTCCTGCCCGTGAAACGCAGGGTCGGTAGTAGGTAGGCCGCGATGATGATGAAATTGCCGATGCTGAGGTGCAGCACCATGGGGGAGAAACCGACGAAGGCCGTGCCCCCTTGCTTGTCGTGCTTGCCCTTCCAGTGCTCCAGGGACGTGGACTGTACGTGCGCGCGCGTGGCGACGAGTTCACCCGCGGACCATCCTTTCATCGACTTGCCACTGGGGACCGCGGGGGTAATTGTCGCCTTCCATCCTTCTTTCTGCAGGAACGTCTTCATGGCTGAGACTTGGTTTGGCCCCTTGTGCGTTTCCACAAACGCCAGGCAATCGAACTGCTGCACCGCTGGGCCTCGCACGTAGTTCTGTACCTGTGGGCCCCACTCCGTGATGTTGCCGAACAGGACCTGGAACTCCTCGCTCTGCTGCTGGGTGGAGTGCGCCTCGCTAAAGCCCAGACTGCTCAGCACCATCAGCCAGACCGTCAGCTTGCGCATGAGCTTCGCGAGCCTTGCGCCTCTCAGTCCGAGCCTGCTCCAAGGCTGCTTGATTGGCGTCCCTGATCTTCTTCTTCTCGTCCTCAGGGTTGATGGCTGTCGCGCCTGTGCCGTTGCTTGCGGTCGCTGGCGATGCTGTGGTGGGTGCCTCAGACGCAGGGGGTTCCTCTTCCACTGCCTCCGCCTTGGGTCCTTCTGTACCCGCTTCGACCTTACGCTTCTTTTTGGGGGCCTGCATTGCCTTCTTTGCCCTCTGGTGGATCTCCTCGATGTACTTGAACTTCGCCTGCAGGGTGCCCAGCTGCTCCTTCTGGAACTGCTCCAGTTCGCTCTTCCACTGCATGATGCTATCCATCTCCTCGGTCGGTATGTCGCACTCCTCGAGGCCCTCGAAGAGTGAGCCGTCGTACTCGAACTTGACGTTGAGGGTCTTCTCATCGGGTTTGACCACGATGATGCCCGACTCCTGGTTGGCCTGCTGGAGTGCTGTGAGATGCCGCTGCTGCACCTCGACCCTCTGCTGGGCCAACTTGTCCATCTTCTCGAGCTGGTCGTCCAGGTACAGCTGCGCGCCCGTGAGCTTCGTCCGCTGCTTCTCAATGCGAATGTCCAGCTCCTTGAGCGCGCGATTGGCGTCCGCCAGCAGCTGGGCGCCCGTACGCTGCTTGGGTGGGGCTGGCGTAGGTTTGGCGTTGGCCTCCTCCTCTTGGGCTTTGCGACGCAACAAGTCCAAGGCGGCCGTGATGGTGGGGTCGCCCTTCTCGCCGACGCCCTGGTACGCAGCCAAACTCGTGATGAGGGAGGCCGTGGAGATCGGGTCGGACTGTCCGCCATCGTCCTTCTGCGCCTCCACGGAGTCCCAGCCAGCCTTGGTGCTTGCATACGTGGAGTGCCGCCAAGGTGCCCACTTCTTCCACAGTCGTCCCGAGCGTGGCCAACCCGCAGAATGAGGTCCATTCTGTGCCCAAACTCCAGACGGTGGCGGTGGGACGCCGACGGCGGGGCGGAGCTTCGCCTTGCACTTGAAGCACTCGACTTTGCTGCTCCAGTTCCACTTGTAGCCGCACGCTTTGCACCCAATATACCCCGCTGCGTTGCCAACATCTCCCATGCCGCGGGTCGCTGTGCAACAGGAGTGCTCACCTGCGGGCTGCAGGCGGCACGCAGAGTCCTGGGGCGGACCAGGCTCTGCGAAACAGACAGGGTATGCCGCGGACTAGCGGTATCCAGTTTCGCCGATGCGGGCTCCGCCCGCAGAAGCATCAGCCTTGAGCCAAAATGGCTACGGAGGAGAAGGAGGAGGAGAAGGAGGAGGAGGAGGAGGAGGAGGAGGAGGAGAGGGAGGCGGCTCCGCCTCGGCGGCTCGGCCCGCCTGCCACAACACCGTCGCGAGCTCGTGGCAGGTCCTCTAGGGCCGCTCGGCCCCGCCCGAGCCAGAACCGGCGCGACCGTCGACGACGACGACCTGTGCCAGATGCTCTGGGACTGCAGCCCCCCACGAGCTGGGGCCGCTGGGCCTCCCCCCTCTCCCGACGGCGGCGACGACGAGAACGCCATCTACGACGACGACGACGACATCGACGATGACGACGAGAACGACGACGACGACGAGGAACGACGAGGACGAAAAACGACGACGACGACTACGAGGAACGACGACGACGACGACGACGACGACGACGACGAGGGACGACGACGAGGGACGACGACGACGACGACGAGGGACGACGACGAGGGACGACGACGACGACGACGACGACGACGACGACGACGAGGGATGACCACGAGGGACGACGACGACGACGACCACAACGACGACGCGTGGCAAGACCTCTGGGCCGCCGACCCCCGTACGAGCCAGAACCATCGGGGGTCCCTCCGCCTTCTTGCCATCGTTCAGACGCCCCTCCCTCGTGCCTGCCTCGGCTTCGTGCGCTTATCCAGCATGGGGGGAAGCGGGTCCTGCGATAAACGGCTCCTGGACCCTGGGGCCTTCCCCCAAGACGAGATCTTCATCCTGCGTCGTTTTCTGACAGTCCCGGGGCCCGTGGAGGATGCCAGGAAGCCAAACACGGCGAACAATCTCAGGACCCGTTTCCCTCAGGACCCGTTTCCCCCGTGCGAGCTTCTCTTTGTCGCAAGATGCTCCAAGATGCTCCTCGAGGGCCCTCGCGGAGAAGACGTGCACACGGAGGAGGAGGAGGAGGAGGAGAAGGAGGAGGAGGAGGAGGAGGAGGAGGACGAAGAGGAGGAGGACGAGGAGGAGGAGGACGAGAAGGACGAGGAGGAGGAGGAGGAGGAGGAGGAGGAGGAGGAGGAGGAGGAGGAGTCTTCGTCCAGCAGGAGCTTGGGGCGAGGCCCGTGCTCTCCACAACGGTGTGGCGGCCGAGGTCGATGATCGAGGATCGACGTATCGCCGCGCCGCTTGCCCTCGACGCGCCCAACGTGGACGGCGCCGACACCACGGCAAGCACCCACGGCAAGCCCTGCGCCCCGCGCCCCGAAAGACGAGGCCAGCACCGCGGCAAACCCACTGCAAACCCGCCGCGTCCGAAGCGGCGTTTGCCCTGGTGGCCGCGGCGCCCTTCCCAAGACGTAAGGTTGCGCCTCGGAACAAACGGTGCGGCGACACGTGATTTTCAAGACTTGCTGCGGGCCTTCCTGGGCCTCCTGAAGCCTCCAGGGGTCTCCGCCGAAGAGGAGGGAGAGGGGGGAAGGGTGAGGAGAGGGGATTGGGGATGGGGGAGCGAGAAGGCGCAACAGTTAAGAAGCGAAGGGATTCGTCAGGACATCGTCTCTTTCGGGTCATAACGTTGACATAACTCTGGCCTCCGGCGGCCGTTGGGAACGATTCTAGTACCCCTGGAACTGCTCTCGGCGAGGTGCAGCGGCTGGAGAGCATTCCGAGGCTGGAGATCCGCGGATAACCGACGAAAGCGTCCGAAAAACTCGGACCCATGGAGGATGGGGGGAGGGGGCTGCTTGCGCCCTGGATGTGTCGGCCTACGATCGGGAACTTATGGATAGCGTGTCGCTCCGCTGGTTGCCATGCTTCTGCGCGACACGCTACCCACGTATCCATTCCCAGACGTCAACATCCCAAACTTTCCCAAGCCTCCCGCCACTTGGAGCGGAGCGACACGCTACCAGCTCGCACGGCATAGGGTGTCGCCAGGGCCGTCGCGGCGATGCGCTAAGCACATGTTTCTGACCGTACAGGCGCCTGCTTCGGAGAACAGGATCCAACATAAACATACATTTTCGGAGGTCCGCGCGGATTTCCTGGATCTGCGCTGAACCCCCCTCCCGGGCGCGCGGAGTGCGCCAGGGGCGGCCCCCGAGGGAGACGCCGCTGGGGAGGGGGGGCCAGGCGCAGATCCAAGAACTCCGCGCGGAGCTCCACACGTTCCTGTTTGCGCCGCTGTTCCTTCGCAGCTCCTGACCTCCTTCCAGAGGCAGGCCCCCTCACAGCGACCTCCCTCCAATCGGCGGCCAGCGAGGGGGAGAAGCGAGACGGAGAAGGCCTTCTCGCGAGGCGGCGGGACCTCTCAGAAGGCCTCGGGCCTTCTGACGGGCTCCATGGGTCTTCGGGGTAGGCTCCGGAAACTTCTCAGCATCAGGAGGCTGCGGCCCTTCCGAGCTCGGAGAAGGCCCGCCCCTCCTCACCTCCCACCCCCGGGCGCGCTGCCGATCAAACGATCCCGACCGCAGCAGGGGTTCCCGACCGTGCTGGCGTCTTCATCGGCCGCTCGCGCGGGCGGGGCGCCGTCCTGCAGGTGTCCAGGTGGACGCGGCCCAGCCCCGCCTCGGTTGCACGCAGGAGTGACCCTGGGTAAGAGTGACCCTTGGTGCGATGCTGCTTGGGGGCCGCAGGGGGGCAAACACAAGCGCGCGAGACGCTGCTATCGTACCGCGCTCGGCGGTCGGGTGATCCCCTGTGGGCCGCACCAAGGGTCACTCCGGCGAAAGGTCTCTTACGTGTAGTCGCCCCGCCTCCCGCCCGGCCAGGGCGCGCCGGAGCAGCTCCTCGGCCTCCGCCATCCTGCCGGGCAGCCGTGCTTCTGCTGCTGCCGCTCCTCCTCTTCCTCCTCCTGCCGCTGCCTCCTCCTCCTCCTCCTGCTCCTTCTCTCTCCTCCTCTTCTCTCCTTCTCCAACTCCTTCTCCTCCTCCTCTGCCTTCTCCTCCTCCTCCTCCTGCTGATCCTCCTCCTCCTCCTCCTTCTCCTCCTATCTCCATCTCCATCTCCATCTCCTCCTCCTCCTCCTCCTCGTCCTCCTCCTCCTCCGCCTCCTCCTCCTCTCTCCTCCTCTCTCCTCCTCCTCCCTCCTCTCTCCTCGCATCCTCCTCCCTCCTCTCTCCTCTTCTCCTACCCCCTCTCTCTCGATTCTCCTCTCTCCTCTCTCCTCCCACTCCCTCCTCCCTCTCTCTCTCTCTCTCGTCCATCTCTCTTCTCCGCAGCCCATTCCCCTTTGCTGGAGCGGGCGCCGCACCCGACGCACGTCGGGCGGGGCTCGATCGACCGGTGGTCGATTAAATGTCCAGCGGACAGTCAGGTGGGGAAAGGAGGGCTGTGCGGGAAGGAGGTGATGCGGGCCCCAAGAATATACATCACCACCACCACGTCGTTTCGTCCTCCCCCCTCTGCCCTCCTATTCCGTGGCTCTTTCCTGGGAGAGGGGGGGGGGTGAGGGAGGTGGTGGTGGTGCATATGCTTGGGCCCCGTAAGAGAGGGGCTGGGGGAAGGAGGGTCGGGCGTTGCACGGGGGGCTGGGGAAAGGAGGGCGAGCGGCAGCGGGAGCAAGGACGGGCTGCAGGGGCGGGGGCAGGGAAAGGGGAATGGAAGAGGAGGATGAGGAGATGGAGCAGGAGGACCAGTGTAAACCGAAGACGCATCAACGATGTTGCAATCAGCCCTCCCTCCCAAATGCCCTGGTCATATGTCCCTACAAAAAATATGTTTCCCGAAACAGCTTGCTGAACGGGGTGCTCTTGTGGTAGAAGCCAATTACGGGGTGCTCTTGTGGTAGAAGCTACTTCCGGCCGAAGAACGCGCAAGCAGAGACATCCTAAAACAAGTTTGCTTGTCCTGGCCGTTTCGCTTGAGACATCCTCGCAAATCTCGTTTCTGAGCTGGCCAGGATTGGGCGTTTCCCCTGAGGCATCCTTGCAACTCCTGGTTCCGAAATGCTGCGCGAGAGGTGGTCTGGCGCGTTCCGCCAGAAACATCCTCACATTTCTGGGCTCCAAGATGCCGCGAGCGAGGAGGTCAGATGAGTTTCGCCTGAGACATCCTCGCAATTCTGAGCTCCGAGATGCTGCGCGCGCGGTGCGAGGGGGGCGCGACATACGAGGCGGAATGCGAGGATTACAAGGAGGAGCACGGGGAGCAGGAGGAGGAGGGGCAGGAGGAGGAAACTGAAAAGGAGGAGTGCGATGATAAGGTCGAGGAAAAGGAGGCGGCAAAGGAGGAGGAGCAGGAGGAGGAGGACGGGGAGGAAGACCACGTCGCGGAATAATGGCACCAGAAGGATGAGGAGGATTCGTATGAGGAGGTGGGCGAAGGCGGAGTGAGACTAGGATATACAGAGAAAGAGAGAAGGGAGATGGGGGGATGACCACTAATAGCATTATGAGAATGAGGAGGAGTATGAGGAGGAGGAGGAGGAGGAGGAAGAGGACGAGGAGGAGGAGCGGGAGGAACAGAGGAGGGGGATGATAAGGAGGAGGTGTAGTGGAAGGGGAGAGGGCGAAGGCGAGAAGGACCATTACCTGTATGCGGAGGAGGAGAAGGACGATGTCGAACAGCTCGGCGACGACGCCGAAGGCACAGACGGATCAGGAGAGAGAGGGCGCGCGAGCACTCTCAGGAGCAGCCTTGGCTGAATCAAAGAAGATGTTGTTAGATGCTGGATTCTGGCTGTAATTTCGTTGCGGGGCGTGCCTCATGGGAAGACGAATGTCTGATCATCTTCCATGGTGCCAAAACACAGTTCCTGAAACCCCAACGCGGCGAATCAATTTGGCTGTTGCGTCCTGGCAACCCCGAACCGCTGCCACGGGCAACATGCCACGTGGCTGGATTCAAAAGGCGCGAGCCGCTTTAGCTGCCCCCAGACGCCGCATGCAGTCGACTCTGACAGTGCGTCTCGAGGAGTGCGTGGCGCTGACACCATGAAAACAGGAGGAGGAATATGACGAGGAGTAGACGGAGGGGGATTGCGAGGAGGGGGCGAAGAGGAGCAGGAGCAGGAGGCTGCAGAGGAGCACTGCAGAAAGGAGGAGGGGGGGGGGGGTGCGCGAAGCACAAGGCGGAATGCGAGGATTACAAGGGGGAGCGCGGCGAGCAGGAGGAGCATGATGAGGAAACAGTGCATGAGGAGTGCGATGATAAGGTCGAGGAAGAGGAGGCGGCGGAGGAGGAGAAGGATCAGGAGGAGGGGGAGGAGGAAGAGGAGCAGAAGGAGGAGGAGGAGGAGGAGGAGGAGGAGGAGGGGGGGAGGCGGAGGAGGAGGAGGACGGGGAGGAACAACACGTCGAGAAATAATGACACCAAGAGGACGAGGAGGATTCGTATGAGGACGTGGAAGGAGGAGTGAGACTAGGAGGTATAGAGAGAAGGAGGAGGGTGGGAGGACCAAGAACATCATTCTGAGGAGGATGAGGATGAGGATGAAGACGAGGAGGAGGAGGAGGAGGAACGGGAGGAACAGCGGAGGGAGATGATAAGGAGGAGTTGTAATGGAAGGGGAGAGGGCGAAGGGGAGACGGAACCTGACCTGGATGCAGAAGAGGAAAAGAACGACGACGAAAAGCTCGGCGACGACGCCGAAGGCACAGACGGATCAGGAGAAAGAGGGCGCGCGAGCACTCAGAGGAGCAGCCTTGGCTGAACAAAAGAAAATGTTTTGGAATACTGGGTTCCAGCTGAAATTTCATTGCGGGACGTGCCCCATGGGAAGACGAATGTCTGATCATCTTCCATGATGCCAAAGCACAACCCCTGAGACCCCAACGCCGCGAATCAACTTGGCTGTTGCGTCCCGACAACCCCGAACCATGCCATAAAACCTGTCCTGGGGCTTCAACACCGTGAATTAACGTGACTCGTGCGTCCTGGCATTCCGAATTCGGGTCAAAACACAGCTCCCAGGACTTCAACCATGCGAGCCCTTGAAATGCATGCCAACTTTTTGCAATAAGGTGCGCGGCGCTAGGGCGAGAGTTTGACTTTGAAAACCACCCACCCTCCATCCTTGAAGCTGATGCAAACTTCTAAGGTCAATGCGCGCGGAGCGAAGTGCGAGAACAACAGCTTGAAAACCATCCGTCTTCCATCCTTGAAGCTGGTGAAGAATTTTATAACCACTGTGTGCGGCGCTAAAGCGAAAACAACATGTTGAACACCACCCGCCCTCCATCCTTGAACCTGCTGCAGGTTTTCAAGATCACAAGTTGTGAGGATGCGTGCGAAAAGCCCGGTCCGCCCTACCGACGCGTCTGGGAGGGGGGGGCGCCAGGGACGAGATTTGCTAGATAGAAGAGAGATGGAAGAAGGAGGAGGGGCAGGAGGAAGTGCATGGGGGGGAGGGGGAGGAGACGGAACAAAAGGAGGGCGGGGAGGCGGATGATGATAATGAGAAGAGGATGTGATGATGACGACGACGACGGCGACCATTATGCCGATGACGATGATGATGAGGATGGTGATAGGGAGAATCATGCAGATGGTAGTGATGATGACTATGTTGGTGATGACTGTGAGGATGGGGGTGAGGATGTCAATGCTGATGGTGACAACGACAATGATGCTGATGATGCGGAATCTGAGGAGGAAGAGGAAGCGGAATGGGAGGGGGAGGAGAGATAAGATAACGGAGATATTGGTAGTGGAGGAAGGGGAGGGGAGAGAAGGCTTGTTGGTTGAGCCCAGAGCACCTTGCCAGCCCCGTGATTACCTCCTGTATATATATATATATATACAGAGAGAGAGAGAGAGAAAGAGAGAGAGAGAGAGAGACAGAGAGAGCGAGGGAGAGAGAAAACGACAACTATAAAGATATATATATATAGAGAGAGAGAGAGAGAGAGAGCTAGACAGAGAGAGAAAGAGAGAGAGAGAGAGAGAGAAACGGAACCCTGCGAGAGAGAGAGAGAGAGAAGAGAGAGAGAGATAGATATGCAGGGATACGCAGACAGAGAGGGAGAGAACGAGAAAGTTAAAACGATAGAGATATTTATAAGGCACCGTAGAGACATATAGAGCAACATAAAGACACATACAACACCACGCAGTGAGGCCATCCGCTGGCGGGCGGAGGCCGCAACGGACACCACAGCAACCCAAAACTCGGAGCATGCCGTGCGAGTACCCTGCTCGTCCCTCGTCGTCCTCCTCCTCCCCTTGCTCCTCCTCCTCCTCCTTGTCCTCGTCCTCGTTCTTCCTCCTCCTCCTCCTCCTCCTCCTCTTCCTCCTCTTCCTCCTCTTCCTCCCTCCTCCCCCTCCCTCCTTCCACCCTCATCCTCCCTCCCCCTCGGCCTCCTCCTCCTCCTCCTCCTCCTCCTCCTTCCTCCTCCCATGCCTCTCTCCCTCCGCCGCATCATCCCCCCCCCTCGCAATGCTGGGGACCAATCGCCCGAAGGTCGGTGGCCGGCCAATCCAGCCCGCCTTCCCTAAATCGCACCGCGAAGTGAACGTTGGAAAATACCGCCCCTCCTCCCCCCCCCTCTGAGCATCGTTTATCCGATCCCTATCCCCAGCGGCGTGGCCTGGGCCTCACTTGCCGATTTACACCCCTAGATGGGGATATATAGGCCGTTCCCTTCGGGTTTCGAAGGGTCTATCCCCCACTGGGGCGCTGAGACGTTGGGGGTCCGGATGGAGCATGGGGATGGGGATGGGGATCGGTTGAACGATTATTTTTCTTTTTTTTTGTTTCCGCGTCTGCTCTACATGACCTTCCGCAGCCTTCGGATCACGGAGCGAGCACCTGGATCATATGCTTCCAGCGCGCGGGGAAAATCGCTGCCTCGGAACGCCTGCGCTACGTCAGCATGGGGATCGCTTGAACGATACCGACCTTCCCTCCCGCGCCGGCGCCCGAGCGGAGCCTGCCAAGGCCCCCGAGGCAGACCCCGAGGCCGTGCACGGAGCTCAGCGTCTCGAGGTGCTCCTCGCCCAGGCGCTCCTGGAGGCATCGCGCGCCGACCCCCCGGGGCGTGGGGGCGGGAGGGCGGCGTGGCGCACGGGAGGAGGAGGAGGAGGGGGAGGAGGCGGAGGCGGAGGCGGAGGCGGAGGCGGAGGCGGAGGAGGATGAGGAGGAGGAGGAGGAGGAGGAGGAGGAGGAGGAGGAGGAGGAGGGAGGAGGAGAGAGAAGGGAGGGAGGAGGAGGAGGAGGAGGAGGAGGAGGAGGAGGAGGAGGAGGAGAGGAGGAGGAGGAGGAGGAGGAGGAGGAGGAGGAGGAGAGAGGGAGGAGGAGGAGGAGGAGGAGGAGGAGGAGGAGGAGGGAGGAGGAGGAGGAGGGGAAGGGGGAGGAGGAGGAGGAGGAGGAGGGAAGAGGAAGAAGGGAGGAGGAGGAGGGAGGAGGAAGATGCACTGTAGCACCATGCAGGGAGTATGGTCAACCTGTAAAATAAGGACGCACGGGAAGGATGCAAGGGTCTTGGATGGCCATGACGATACTTTGCGAGCGGGGCGCGGCCAGCGAAAGCGACCAAGGATGGGCCGAAGGGGGAGGATGCAGGGATAACCCTGAGCACTTTCTCATCCTTACTGTGCGGGTTGACAGTAATTGCGCGTTGTAACCCACACATTTCGTCATCCTCGCCCTTCTGACTCCGCCTCCTTCTCCCTCGAGGAGGGGGGAGAGGGAGGCGGAAGGGAGGATGAGGAACACCTAGCTCCTCTCCAACGACACAATGCGCCGAAGACAAAGCCGCTGGCTGAGGACTCGACGCTGTGCAACTCAAACAACGCGATCCCCCCACCAAGGGCGCCAAGACAAGCGGCAAACTGGGGGTGGACAACGGGAAGGAAACGGCCTCGGCGAACGGCAATGGCAAAGGCCGCGACCAGAAGAGAAGCGGAAAAGGGGATACTCACGGTCGTGGTGGTCGTCGTCGTGGTCGTCGTCGTCGTCGTCGTCGTCGTCGTCGTCGTCGTGGTCGTCGTCGTGGTGGTCGTGGTGGTCGTGGTGGTCGTGGTGGTCGTGGTCGTCGTGGTCGTCGTCGTCGTCGTCGTCGTCGTCGTCGTCGTGGTCGTCGTCGTGGTGGTCGTGGTGGTCGTGGTCGTGGTCGTGGTCGTGGTCGTCGTCGTCGTCGTCGTCGTCGTCGTCGTCGTCGTCGTCGTCCTCGTCGTCGTCGTGGTCGTCGTGGTGGTCGAGGTCGTCGAAGTCGTCGTTGTCGTCGTCGCCGTCGTCGTCGTCACGGCTGCGCGCGCTCGCCGGGCACCACGTGGCGGAGCGCGGCGGGCCCTGCCCGCCGGCTGGGACGAGCCGCGGGAGGCGCGGGTGCTGTCGGCTGGCGTTCTTCACTCCGCTCTCCCCCTTTTTTGTCCAACGGGTCAAAGTGAAGCCGCGCAGGGGGCCTCTGAAGAGGGAGTTTGGAAAAAGAGGGTAGATTGCAACGTCACGAAATGCTTTGAAACACGCTTGTTCTGGGCAACAGCGGGCGCAGTCTCTGGTACAATGCCCCCTATCGGATAGACCTTGACATCATCATGTTTACGCCAGGATGCCCTCTCAGCGTGCTCTCGTCGAATCGCTCGTTCAAAATGCCCACAACGTTCACCTTCCAATATCTTCCCCTTTGCTCACCAAGCTGTCCGCCGATGGATCCGCTCCTCTGGCTACACGTTGCGCGAAAGCGATGAGGAGGCAAGCTGTGCGTGAACCAGTTTGGCTGATGAGCAGTTGCTCGACCTGGTTGTTTACCATAAGCGAAGATACGCTGAACTTCTGGAACGCAAGATGGACTGCCATGCGGTGAACACGTGTTGCAGTATTTCCGACATCGAAAAGTGGGATCGCAAAGTGCAACAGACGAGCAAGAGGGGCTCCTGGCTACAATACTCTTGTCACCTTCGTCGAAGCGTGCAAGACCCACACAACCCCGAACAGCCACTGCGTTCCGCGACATTCACGCTGCCAGTAAGTACGGAATCAATCGCCCAGCCCATGGGGTCAGCAAGGCATTGTATCGGCACGCGGGCGGCGGAAGAGCAGCCTTTGCAGACTACGCGTGGACCAACCGAACTGGATCTCTGTGCATGAACCCCAGGGATGTTTGGGCATTGTACGGCTCGCCGGAGGGAGTGCTCTGATGTGACGTTGTGTGGCGCGCTGAGCCTCCGAACTATCTTCTTGGACACCCGAAATGGGTACCGAAAGAATGGGTACAATGCCCAACAACAAATGTTGTCCCAACTCAACAGCGGCCGCTGTTGGTCAGGCGGCCTTCTGTCTCAAATGGACACAGGCCGCGGCGGCGCCGACAGCGAGTCCTGTTCAAAATGAACCAGATCCGCTGTTGGGCATAGTACCCATTCTTTCAGTACCCATTTCGGGCGTCCAGAATCTTCTAAGACGGGCCCTCGCCCTCTTCCTCACCTCCCACAGTGTGAAGTCCCGCCTCTTCCCAGACGGATTTTCTGGCAGGCAGTGCTGGGCTCGGGGAATGGGAGCCAGACGCCGCGGGGGGGAGCTGCCGATTTTTCACCCTACGGACTCTCGGATGGAGGCGTGGGCGACCAGGCAGACCAACCTGTAGGATCTCTCTTCATCCATCTCCGCTTCAAGGACTTCGCCTGGATCACTGTCAAGCAAGCTCGGCGATCAGAACATGTTGCTCGTGCGCACAGATGAGCAATCAAGACGTTTTGCTCATATAGTGTGCCGCGGCAGCAGCCCCCGCAACTTGGTAGCGCGTCGCTCCGCTCCGCGGGGCCGAGGGCAGGGAACCGTTTGGGGACGTTGACTCCTGGGGACTGGGACGTGGTCGCACGTCGCTCCGAAACATGGTACACCCTGCGAAATGCTCAAGAAATCATGGGTTAAGAAACTCATGGTCTCAGACTTTGAAGAACAACCCAACGTTTCCATTAAAATCTGAAGATTTACATGGAAGCGTTAAGAACAATCGAGACTCTGGCCGAAAACTTAGGTTTTCTTAGGCATCGCCTAAGGTGTAGGCCAGAACCGGCGGCGAGATACGCTAAGCAACAGTTCCTGGCCGCACGGCTGGCGATTCCAAGATGACAGTGTGCCATTTTCGGTCGCACTGACTTGGGGCGGTCAGAGGTCTTTTTCAGCGTCCAGGGGCCTGAGCTCGAGGTCCCGCTCCAGCTCAACGACACCACCCTCTCCACACCGCTGCTGTGGCCTAGCTCGAACCCGCTCCATGTCCACGAGCCAGGCTGCAATGCCTGATAACTTCCGTTCCGGCCCATGCTTCTTTGGGGGAGGAAGAGAAAACGGCACAAACATACACTTCCTGAGGTCCGCGCGGATTTCTTGGATCGGCGCTGGACCCCCCCCCCTCCCTGGCGCTGGGAGCGCGCCAGGAGCGGCGCCTGAGGCGCCGCCGGGGGGCTCCGCCAAAATTCATTAGCAGATATTCGACGAATCTCTGGAGCAACCGAACCCAGCACGTGGTCGGGGAGCCGGCTGAGGAGGGGGTGTCCCTCGGCTCCCGTCGCCAAGGCAACGGGGGCGTCTCACGGCTGACGTACACGTCGTTCATTTACAATCGGGCTCATTTCTAATTGTGCTTGTTTCTATTTGTTCCGGGCCCCCCAGTGGCCAGGAAGAGGCCCAGGATATAATGATTAGAACTGAAAGGATCTTGCCCCCCCCAAAATCAAAGCACCTTCGAATAATTAGAAACGAACAATGTGTACCTAAACAGCGTTCCGGCGCAACCCAGCTGCCTGAGTGTTTTCACTATGTGAAACTTTGGAGGATGGATGGGGCAGGTGGTGGCTCATCTCGTCCCGTCTGAGGCGACAGAAGCCGAGGCAGACAGAGAAGAGCAGAGTACCAGTGTTAAGTCGGACGTGTCCCCCTACAGGGTTTTTTCTATGAAAAATAAAACATACGCACGAACTACTGAAAATAATCAAAGACTGCTCAAAACATAGTCCCCAGACTATTTTATGACAATTTTTGAAAATTCCCCCTGTAGAGGGACAAGCCCGACTTAATACCAGTGCCATCTGAGGCCCCGCGAGCCGCCGTGTCCTCTGTGCGGGAAGCAGGAGTGGCCAAGCATACGTCACTTTGAATCGACGTGTGCTGCGCGCAGTGGTTTTCGTCAACACCTTAGCAAAACAAATCATTTGAGCGCGGGCTGGTGGACACAGCAGCCTAACGATACCGTGAGCTCGAGATGAATCAATGTCTTAGCTCATCGTCAAGCAGTTCGCCGTGCAGAGTTGATGGTGGCAGTCTGCCGCATGGGCCTGTACGTTCAAGAAGTGTTGTGGGCACTCAGAAAGTAAGCCAGTTGCTGATATGAACTTTCTCTACTTGGATTGGTTGTGGTTTTGTTTCTACCCTTTGTGCTCCTTTGATGCAGCGAGGCTCCAACCTACGATCGGTTGTTCCTGAAGTGCACTGAGGTGGTGCCAGCGAGACCAGCCCAAGTGTGGCGACTGCTGGGGGGCCTAGTCCACCCAGTTGAGAAACATTCGTATTCATTATCGCAAGCTTGGATTCCCTCCTGAATTGGCTCGGACGCTACAGCAGGCCGTCGCTGAGTTTCCCAAGTACCCCTCCATGCGAGCGGTTCTCAAGCTTTTCATGGGCAAGGTCCCGGACATCCGAGTCCTCGTTTTACTGTTTTGCCGAACGCTGCCAGCAGTGGGGCAACTGTTGCTGCGGGGGATGAGCAGGTCCAGGCGCATGTTTTGCGACACCGCGTCCCAATCTGGGCATCGCTCGGACGCCCATTCCATGTGTTTTTCTCGGTTTCGTGCGTGGCTTTCTCGCCAAAGGATCCAGGATGCTCCTCGATGGTCCTCGCCGAAGGGAAAATGCACACGCCCGAGCGACGCCAAGCAGTTCACAACCAGGGGCGCGACCCGCCCGCCCCCGGAGGGGGCCTCCTCGCCCCCCTCTCCTCCCTCTGCGGCCGCCCGTCCCGCCCTGCATTTCCGCTCTCTTGCGTGCTGGCTCATTCGCTACAGCGGCGC